ACTGGCCCAGGAGAAGTTTTCCTCTTGGGAAAGAAAGAACTGAAAAGCCTGAGCAGGTTTCCTAAACAACAAAACCTACTCAAGAGCCACCTGCTCAGTACAGGCTGCCTGGAATGGTGTCACCTTTCTACAAGGGACAGTGTGACCAGAACTGATCACTGGAAGCAGAATTCTCTGAGTCTCCCAGCTGAATTCTCTGTCCCTGTCCCCTGGATCTCTGTTGCAGATGGAACCTGCTGGTGCCATCCTCACCTTTAACCTCTCTTTGGAGTGGAAACAGATATTCCCAGCTGTGTTAAGCAGGATTTGTTGAATGTTTCTATAAATCTTTTGTGTTCCCCATGGAACGAAGGGGCCATTTTGGCACTGAGGGGGTGACGTGGAAGCAAGGAGTCAGTTGTGACCCTGGGGTCCCATGGAACCAAGGGGCCACAGTGACACAGCAGGGACACATGGATCCAGTGGTCCATTGTGACACTGTGGATGCAAGGAGACCATAGAGACACCTCCAGAACCTCATGGAACCAAGGAGTCCATGGTGACCCAGCGGGGCTGCATGGAGCCAATGGTCCATGCTGACACTGCCCATCCAAGGAGGCCATTTGGATACTGCAGAAGCTCATGGAGCGAGGTGGCCATTGTGACACTGAAGGACTTCATGACATCAAATATCCATGGGGACACAGCAGGGCATCATGGAACCCAGGAACCGCTGTTGGCAGTGTGGAAACTCCTGGAACCAGGGGCTGTTGTGGCACTGCAGCACCAACACAGCTTCTGCACCTTGTCCCCTGCCCTGCACAGCTCCTTGGGAGACATGGCAGGAGCAGCACCCTGGGAACCTTGGGAATGCCCCTCTGGGATCCATGGCACACACTCCCAGGGGCTGGAATTCCAGTTCCCAGCCAGGAAAAGATGTTCCTGCCCTTGAAGGCAAAGCTCTTATGGAAGAGTCAAAAGCCAAGTGGAGCAACATCTTAAAGTGACATTTCACTGCCAACCTCCCTAACTTCACCCATGGTTGTTGTAGCTCATGGATTGGGAATTAAATCAGGGCAGGGTCCTTGGTGGGAGCTGCCCTGGGTCAAAGGAGGCACTGAGAGAGGAACAGAGCAGGCAAAGGAAGGCAGGAGAGAAAGGAGGTGTTTTGGTTTGGAATGACAGGTGTCTCCTAAGGAGGGCAGGAGCCTCCCCTGAAATAGAAAAATGAAGACTCTTTCAGAATTGTCATAGATTTGAAATTAAGGGGGGCTCTCAGGTAAAAATATGGGAGCAGGAATAACTGTTTTTTATTAGGGAAGAAAATAGAACTATAAAATAAACAATGCAGTAAACTGAAATAACACTGACAGAGTCAAAATATAACCTGATACCGTTTTTGGACAGGGTATTGGCCGCAGTCCAATTGGAATTGTGGCTGCAGTCCTCCTGCAGTGCCAGGTGTGGTTCTGTTGGAGAAGTGATCCTGTAGAAAAGGGAGTCTTCCTCTAAAGAGGAAGAGGCAGCTGTTCCTCTGGGAAAATCCAGCCCAGAAAAAGCTGTGTTGGTGGGCCAGAATCTCAAGACTGGATGCAGGTAGGAATGCTTGGCTCCTCCCTCTGGGCGGAGCATCTCACAATGGGATGTTACAGTTCTTATCAGTCATGCAGTGACATTCAATAGCCCATTATCAGCAGATGTCTCCCCTGAGGGAGGATTGATTGTGGAAGAGATAAGGAAAAACTGCCCACTTAACACAGGACAGCTGCCATACAGATGGCAAATA